CCTTTTTGCCACCTTTTGAACCACTTTTTGCTGCAAAAGCGTTTTTGTCTTTCACACTTCCTTCCAGAACTTTCGATTTTGCACATATTGTTTAGTAGTCCTTTAATTTGAATTCGTTCATGTTTTTAGCAGCGTACAGAATTGATTTATTTAATGAAAGTTCGCCGATACCGTCGATCACATATTGAATAAGAGCTTCTTCCTCAACATTTAATCGGGATGCAATATCTTTCATGCGATAAAAGTATTCTTGCACATTTTCGTTTGCACGGTGCTTGCTCTCTCCTAGCTGCATATGTATTTGTTTGCTGCATACTCTCGACCTGAACTCATTTAGCAAAGACTTCTTTAATGCATTCCACGAATTTAATCCCTTTTCGCTCAATATAAACATCTTAGCTACACCTTTAAGTGACTTTTTGGCGAAGATAAGCTTTTGTAGCGCTTTCCAACCCATAAGTAAGGCTTGATCTTCAAAGTCGCTTATCCATACCTTAACTGGAATTTCATCACTCCCATCTTCTATGTCTCGAAAACTTAGAGCAAAACGCAGCATATCAACTTCATTGATTCGTTGCGAATTCGACTTTCTCTTCCTTTCACCTGTAGAAGGTATTTCTACTCCTGTTGAAATTACGCTTCTAATTTCATCATCATTTTGGCTGTCTTCGTCATGTTCCTTCTCTTCGCCGGTTTTCTCGTTCTCTGAATCGTTCACTTCGTTGAAAAAGAGAAGTTTGCCAAACTGCAGATTGCGAAAAAAAATTATATTTTCACAGTCGTCTTTAGTCACTTTTCACTTTCACCTTCAGCTTTCCTCGGATACTTCTCTTTATTTATTAAGTAGGTTATTATTTATAAGTTTGATTATTAATATTAATTAACATAGTAAGAAATCTTTGTGTTTTAATCGTCGTCTCGTCGTCACACGTCGTTCGCTTGAGCACGTCTTTACTCAACTCGATCCCGTCAGCATGTTGCTCTGCTCGTCTCCTCGTTGTCACATCTCGTTGTAGTGATCGTCGTCTTCTTTTCCATCGGCTCGTCTTCCTTTGGAATGCGTCTTTTGACCATCTACTCGTCTTCTTAGTTTTAGCTGCCTCTCTCGTTGTCTAGGGCGTCGTCATATGAATGCTGGGGTTTTATAAGAGGGATTCGGGAAATAATGCAATCTCACTCCCACATATTATTTCAACTTTAAAAAAATAAACGGTATTCATACATACTTTCATATTTGTGGTTTTAAATTGTTAAACAATACTATAATGAATTTTTAAATATAGGTGGATTTTATTTCTAGAAAAAGCTCTCTATCATTTCGATTTAATTTATTTCTATTTTCTTTATTCTTGTGTGTTACAATAAAAAATAATTTGAAAATTAATGCTTCAGAAAATTTCAGTTTAATTTACATGCATACAAAAACTGTCTAACTCCTGAATTTCATTTTTTTTCTTGTCGAAAATGGCAAAGAGTTCAATGTTGCTGAAAGAGAATGGGATTAATATATAGAAATAATGATTACTATATATATACATTTATATAAAAAAAACATGTAGGTTGATATGTGTCGTAAATTAAAAAGAACATAATTCTTCTTAAACATTATTTCCTGGTATCAGCCCTTCTTATGAAAACTCTGTTCCTATTGCATCAGCTTATAACATGGACACGCACAATACTAACACACTCAAAGCATCTATAAAAGACTGCGAAGGGAGCCGTATAAAATCACTTGAATTTTTGACCTCAACCCGATCGTGTCTTCTTAAGAAAAAAGTCAAAAAAGTTCGTGTCGGTAGTCTAAATCGTAGAGATCGAACGGAAAGTGAAGAAAAAAAGTGCCGCAAAATGTAGTTTTGTGTATTTCGTGACGGTAGTCTAAATTTGTAGAGATCGAACGAAAAAACAATGCCTGATAACAATATGTTCAACTTTGGAACATTGTTGGCTCAACAGCAACAATTCTCGCAGCAGCTTATGCAACAACAACAGAAATGGATGGAGTCCATATTAACACAAAACCGTGTCGTTCACAACGTAGACAGATCAGGGGAACATTCAGTATGTCCGCCGTTTCCAAATTTCAACAAGAATCAACAAAACTGGGAAACGTATCTCCAGCAATTAACACAGCACTTCGCCGCGTACGCAGTGCAATCCACAGAGAAGAAAAAACGTATTTTCTATCGTGGGTAGGTACGCACACCTTTGAACTTGTCAAAAATCTGTTCGGTAGCAAAAATTTTGATCAGCAGACCTATGCGCAAATAACGGAGAAGCTATCAGAGCACTTCAGGCAAAAACGGCATATTGTTGCTGCTCGGTATAAACTTATTAAACGTCAGATGCGGGACTCTCAAACACACAAGGAATGGGTCGCCGATCTACGTGGCATTGCTCTTGAGTGTCAATTTGTTTGCCAATCAGTCCGGTGTTCATTAAATTACGTTAATGAAATGATCCGCGATCAAATAATTGTCACACTCCTTTCGACGTAATTCGCACAGCCGATTTTTAAAAGCTACAGCCGTCACTCGAGGACGTTCTCTCTATTGCCGAAACAGTAGCAGGAGAGCGAGAAGAGAGCGCTTGACATGAACGCAGTATACAAACACAAGCAACACCAAAAGAAACGCAACTATGTTGATGGAAAGGGAAGCAGGAAGCGGCTGCGGTCACTCACAAACTTGCGAAAACTGCAAATTTCGCTAGGCCATCTGTCACAATTGTGCTAGAAAGGGACACATAGCTATTGTTTGCCAGTCCAAATAGTGCAAAGACAAAAAAAGACACTGCCAAAGTCAAAAATCAAAACAAAAACATTGAATCAGTGCAAACAATTTACAATGTTTCCAGTTTGGTAAAGTTTGAAGGAAACAAAAATGTTTATTTCCAAATGGATGCTGGTGCAACGGTGTCAGTGCTTAATTCAAAAACATACAAACAACTTAACAGCCCAAAAATGTAGAAGGCGCTGAGAAACATGCCAACGGTACAAGACACACATACAAGAAATAGCAAAAGAACCCTGGGAAACACTCTGCATTCCACTACCGAGGTCTAGTCACGGCAATAACATGCTTCTAGTTATGTTCGACAAATTCACCGAATGGGTGGAGCTAGCAGCCGTCAGAAAAGCAACAACAGAAATCGTATTAAAAGTATTACGGGAACAGATCCTTACACGATATGGTAGACCGAAAAAACTCATCTCGGACAACGGGGTACAGTTTACGAGTAATAAGTTTAAAGCACAGTTACAGAAATGGGGAATCGTCCACCAGTTAACAGCACCATACACCCCGCAAGCGAACCCGGCCGAGAGGGCAAATAGGACAATAAAGACTATAATAGCTTAATTCTCCGGAACCGGAAAGACACGGTCGGACGACTGGCTTCCCGAAATAGCAATGGCCATCAATAACAACAACACCCATTGTCAAAGGCAGCTACTGGGTTTGCAGCATAGTTAGCACCGAAATACGAAGGCCCATTCAAAGTGACGGGTTCAGTTTCAACAGTTATAGCGACAATAAGACATACGGTGACAGGAAATACACACAGAGCATACATTAACGAACTGAAACCTGTAGTAGATAACGAAGTAGAATAAAGAGATATCTCCCGAACTGATCACAAAAAGCATTTCCTATTTCAGAATGGACAAAAAACTAGAAAGCTCTCTCAAGAAATACAGGGAAAACCTGAAGAACCTAAATCAGCAGCGTCGAGTCATCATACTCGGGTCCGTGGACGTGGCAGGTCCAGCTGGAGACCGAAGACAGACCAGGGCGGCTCCGGTCGCAAGACAGGCACCATCCAGAAATCTAGAAAAATCCAAGTAGATCGTTCCTCTAAACGACCCAGAACACTACGAACCCGAAGTACTCGAACGACGAGACACGACGACATCAAGCAGTGCACAACCGGCCCTTCCGAAGCGGCGACACCAAGCAGTGCATCCAGCCATCGCGCATCGCCAACGCCAAGCAGTGCATCGAGTCAGAGTGCATCGTCAGCATAAAGCAGTGCAACACACGGTCCTTCCGTAGCGCCGATCCCGCACACGAAGCAGTGCGATACTCAACGAGCTGCGATATACTCGACCCTTCCGCAGGGTCGATATCAACAGGCAGTACCACACTCGGCCCTTCAGCAGCGCCGACGCCACTCATCAAGCAGTATCACACTCGATATAATGATAGTTAGAACGTAGTCTTAATCAACCGTAATATTGAAATATAACCATACTATGTAGCGTTCGATTTCTGTTATTCTTTTGGGGAAAGGGAGGTACACCGATCTAAAGAGGAAATACATTTCTGTCTCGAGCCCTGGCCACGGCGAGCTAGAGCTGGAAAATAATCGATGTTTACCTACATCGATGTTTCGATGTTTTTCAGAAAAAAACATCGATGTATCGATACATCGAATTATTTTAAGGTGTTTTTGAAAAAATGTATTTTTCTCCATCACATATTATTAATCAATACCATAAATAAATCAAATTTGTAAAAGGTCTTGATAAATAAATGATTGCACAGTGCTTGACGTCTTGTAAAAAGGCGTACAACCTGGCCTTCTTTTCTTCGTATGCATTTGCCATCGAAACATTTCTTAAGGTCGTACGTGAAGGCAATTCATACCTTGGATCGAGGAGGTTTACAAAATTGCGGAAGCCTTTATTTTCCACCACTGTGAAAGGGCGCAAGTCTGATGTAATATAATAGAACAAGGCACTGTCCAATTGTTGTTTTCGGTTCGACGACTTTTCGTACTTTTTCTCCATAAATGAAAGGACTAACGGCTGTTGTATTTTTGGCAATTCACTAATTGTTAAATTAGGATGAATGTTTTTCAAGTGGCAAGACAAGTTTGTCGTATTGCCACTTGTTTGGTACGTTTTGCCACATTTAATACATTTGGCTGTCCTGCCATCAGCCGATTTGTTAAAAAAGTTCCACACAGAAGACTTCCATTATTTTTCCCGCTTACTTGGGACCGTACTGTCGCTTTCTTCCTCTTGACAGGCAACTATATTGGACAAAAGTTACATTACAAATCATATGATTGTAAATAATAGCTCTAATTACTATTGTTATTCTGCTCTTTCAAAGCCTTCTCCATTTCTGAGCGCCGCCAACACCAATATCAAACTTTCGGAATCAGACTGTAATCTATAATTTATTTACTTAAGTTTCTTACAAAAAACGTGTTCAGCTTACCAAGATTTTTTCCTGCCAAGTAGTGATGGGTAAAGAGGAAACATCGAACATCGATGTTTTGAAACCTCGATGTTTCCCGATTTTCGAAAAACATCGATGTATCGATACATCGCCGATGTTTTTTCCAGCTCGCCGGGCGAGCTATACCGCCTCTCGAAACAGGGTCGTTACTGGTGTCAATTCTCATTTGGACATTGAGTCTTTGTTACACCAGATCCGCCATGTCACGCATTTTTCCAAAATTGAAAAAAGAATAAGAAAAAAAAATGTTTCTTTCTAAGGGACGGGATTGAGTGTCTTGGGAGAACAGCCAGTGTCAAGGGCATCCTTCTGGGACTAGAAGCCGTCAAGGAGCTAAAGGCGCCCTCCAATCTTCAGCACTTGTGAACTATTACTGCAATTTCTTTCCAAATTACTCCTAGTTAGCTTCACCTTTAAATCAACTTCGTAGAATGAACATTCCATTCATGTTTGGCCCTGACCAACAGCAGGCTTTCACAGCATTAAAACGACATATTCTGGACCCTACTGAGCTAGCACACTTCAACGAGGATCTTCCGCTCGTTTTGGCCACTGATGGATCTTCCCTCGGCATTGGTGTAGTTTTATCACACATTCATCCAGATGGCAAGAAAAAGCCAATAGCATTTGCATCAAAGTAGCTGCAGCATCCCGGCAACATAACCACCAAGCGCCACAGCCACGCCGATCGAGCATTCCAATCAGAAGCAGTACTCGACCACGCCAAGGAGTCAATCACTATCAGCGCCCAGATTTTAGAGCGTAAGACTACTAACAATATTTAATTTTAGGGGAGAGATGTGAGTATCGTAAATTCAAAAGAATATGCATCATACTTCTTAAAAGTGATTTTCTGGTATCAGCCCTTCTTATGAAAACTCTGTTCCTATTGCATCAGCTTATAACATGTACACGCACTACACTAACACACTGAAAGCATGTATAAAAGACTGCGAAGGGAGCCGAATAAAATCACTTGCATATTTGACCTCAACCCGATCGTGTCTTCTTATTTCTTCGGAACACAACATAGGTAAATAGTATATGATGATTATAAAGATATCAGGTTTTTAAATTTAGATTTGACTGGGCGTGTAAATTTTGAGGGAAACCTTTGTATCGACCTACGTTTATTAAAACAGAGCTTTAAAACTTGCAAGCAACTGTCAGAAATATAGCGTAAATGCTCAAATATGTATATTCGAAACAAAACATCGTAAACTTTATTCGGTTTGACCAGTGACGAAATAAGTAAATAAAGGAAATAATGAAACAAGGTATGATAAAAGTAACTTACAGCCGATTAACTCCGACGGCGAAATATTTTGGCAGCGGCGATCGTCTAACAAATAGACTTCTTGTACATGTTTATTTAGTTATATGGTCGTCGGTTCTATTTAAAGCATCTAGTTTTGATTCGGCAACTGTTACTTTTGTTAATATTTTATTGACTGCATTTGCGCGTTTAAACTGCGGGATTACACATTTACTGAGCACATCCACATATTATTTATTTCGCCAATTTTTTTTGTTTTTTTACGTTCACTATAAGTTTTCATCGGCTCTCAGCAGCAATATTGATCTCTTTGCCTATAAATTTTCTCTTTAATATCTTTGAACTACAGCAAATTAAGAACTTTTATTATATTTATTACATTTTTTTAGGGAAATTCATACTATGTAAGTTTTTTTTCTAATAAAATTACTGAGAAAACTATAGCAACAACGTGCATTAGTTTTATGTGAGGTAGTGTTAGGATATGTAGCAACAGCTCCTGCTGATTCTGCTGCCGCTGCTGCTCTGCAATGGACAGCTTGTTGGCCTGTTTAAGCTTCTGTATAGCTGCTGTGGATAGCCCAGCTGTTGCTGCACCTGCTCTGCTCTATTTCAACTGGCTTTTGGGCTTATTTGGGCTGCTGGGTAGCGGCTGATCGTACTACCGCCGTTGCTGCACCTGCTGGACTGGCTGTTGGGCCTATTTAGGCTGCTGTGTAGCGGTTGATCGTGCTACGGCTGTTGGTCAGCGCTACTAGCTATGGCCACTAGGCAGTGTTGTAAGCCAGTGCGGTGGGCGCGGTCTCAGGAGGAATATGGTTGTGCTGAGCCAGCATCTCAAATGGCCTCTGGTAGTTCACTGTATTTAGCCACCGTTAAACGCGTGTTGCGTTATGCGAAAGATTTCTTTAAAAAAAATTAAATTGAAGCACGTTACCAGTACGGCAGAGTTCGGGTTCCCGCGTTAGAGGGCGCCACCTGATCATGATGTGTAATTTTATCTAGTTTTTCCAAGGCGTGGGCATTCGGATATGAATCCCTGTGCGCTAAATCAATTCTTTGACCAATACTCCCGTCCGTAACTGTCTTAATAGATTATAAATTTATCTGGGGAGGATCCCGGGTTGACTGAGACGCCGACCCTACAAGGTCTAAGAACATAGTTAGCATGCTTAGTGGTTTTGCACACTGCACAATTATTGATTTAACATCAATAACTAACTTTGGCCAAAAATAGTGTTGTCTAATCCTTTCTAGTGTCTTATTAATCGTGAGCTTTTTGTAGGGCAACCGGGATTAGTTCATTCGGCAGCCATAGTTCCACACCATATCAACCGCTAATCTTTCAGCCGACGCATGCTGTGTCCTTCTATAAATTCAATCCTTCACGACTTTGACCTCCGGAAACTGCTTTTTAGCTTGCATTAGCTTTGCTCTTAGTTCTTGATATTGTTTTGATTTAAATTGTGGTGAGCAGAGATCTATGCAGTTTTCAATTTCTAAATTGATAATAGATAAATCCTCGGTAAACGTCCGTGATACTGCATCTACGTTCCTAATACCCTTTCTGTGCTGAATGCTGCCTATCTCGCTAAGCGGCTACTTAGATGGGATTGCGACATCAGCCACTTTAGTGAAGCGTGATCGGTTATTACCGTAATTTTTTTATACTCAGAATAGCTTCGCTGACTATCATTAAGTTTTCGTGACATAAAGGCTATTGGACTTTCATCTTCTTCTTGGTTAATTTGCATTAAAACTCCCCCAACTCCCGTGTGACTAGCAGCAATGTATATAAAATGGCTGTGAATAATCTGGCATATGCAGAACAGGAGCTTTAAACATTGCTGATTTTAGGTCCTAAAATGCTTGCTCCGCTGCACCACGTAAATGTTTTTTTTGTCTTTTTTAAGGAATCTGTAAGCGGAGAAGTTATTGAGTCATAATTAAATCGACGGAAATTTTCCAGTCCGCAAGCGTTCGGATTGCGCAAAGTAAACCTCGGAAACGAAATACGGAAGCTTGTCCGACGTGAATGGGCACGCGTGCAGCTTTGGCATCCGCGTTGCGTAGAGAAAACAAATCTCGGAAACGCAACTCAGAAGCCCACTGACCCAAAAAGCCCCACTGTGAAACTCACTAAATTTTATTAGCCTGTCCCTAACCTGGACGTGAGTAGAAAAGGCCGGCGATAGTTTCCCGTGCATTTCTGTGGTCTGGTAAGCGTTCGTATTGCGTAGAGAAAACAAACCTCGGAAACGCAACGAGAACTTGAACGACCTGGAGTAGCACGTGGGTAGCTTTGATGTCCGCGTTGCGTAGAGAAAACAAACCTCGGAAACGCAATACGGCAACCTGGCCAACCTGAAAAGCACTCCGCGAAGTTCACTAAATGTTATTGCCGGTACTTGGGGGTTTAATTTCACAAATTTATATTTCTTTTATTCACTCTTTTATTCTCCCTAACCTTCGGACTGAGTATTGTCTGTCTCTGATCTCTGCTTCTTATCGTACTTCGGTGCTTGGTCTAATGTCGCCGCCCGCTGGTTCCTTCTGCTGTTTTCCTGTTGGTCCGTTCAGATCGGCTGCCGCAAAAGAAAAGAGAGCGATCTCAGCTGATCGCTGTTCCACGTCGACACGCTTTTTGCGCTTTACAGCACGCTCGCGCCGTTAATAGCACTAAGCTTGCCTTTAACAGCACGCTTTGCGCTTAACAGCACGCTCGCTCGTTAACGGGTGATTGCGATAATTTATCGATACTATCGACATTCGACCCGACTGGCCAGCTGACCGATCTTGCTGATCAACACTAGCAACCCCGAGCGCTTATATTTGAAACTAGGATAATTTGGTTTTAAGTTTAAATCTATATAGTGAGACCTTCAATGCCTGGAACATAATAATACCTTAAATGGCTTAGATGCTGGGTTTCAAGTGGGGAAGATGTGAGGCGCCTTATGCGGTCTCACACTAAACTACCACAAAATTGTTTTAACGACTGCTTTGACTGCTTTCTTTAATGGCTCATTCTTCACAACGTCCATGGCTATGGTCCCGTGACCGACAATGAGGCCTAAATAATGAACTTCAGGTACACAAAACCTACTTTTTTGAACGTTTATGGTAACCCCTGCTTTTTCCCAATGCTTCTGCACCTTTATGTGCCGCTCAAAAGTGTCATAAATTATAAGGAGGTCATGCAGATAAATGAATACCTCATTTCGAAGGTAGGCTGGAATTATGCGATCCATGAACTTAGAGATTGAAGATGGGGCATTCGTAAGGTCGAAAAGCATGACTTTAAATTGATATATGATAAAGGTCTCCCGGGAACTGTAAAGGCGGTGTTGTCTTTAGAATCAATGTCGAGTGGTATTTGCCAATACGCATCTTTAAGGTCGAGGCTAGTGATGAACTCAGTCTTTGCTAGGCGACTTAAGATACCCTCTATTAGTGGCATAGGATAAGCATCCTTTCGTGTCACCTCATTGACTTTACGACGATCTATACAGAGGCGCACTTTGCCGAGGTTTCTTACAATCACCACTGGCAAGACAACGAACTATTGGATACTTCAATAACTCCAAGGCCAATCATACGATCTATTTACTCATACATAAGTTTTTCGATAGCACGGGAAACTGGATAAAGTCATTGTTTAATGCGCTTTGTGCTCCGATAAATTACCTTGCGAAACAGCAACAGCTTCTTCTACGCTAGCAATACCGTCTCGGACTGACAATCCAGAAGGTAACATATCAAATGCAGTCC